GTGTGTGTGTGTGTGTGTGTGTGTGTGTGTGTGTGTGTGGATGTGTCAGAGGGGTTGCTGCCTTCCCATATGTGGTCCATGCCTGGCTGGTCTACTGTGACACAGCTGAGCCCAGAGCAGGTCTAAACATATGAATATTTAATGCAGGGTCAATGATCTCACAGACTGGCCCTCTAATTATTTAGCTTTTGGGGTGAGGCAGACTGAATACTAATTAGCTGCCAGCTACCTGCCTCGTTGCTCAGACTCAGGTGTGCTCTCCACAATATCCACAAAAAAAAAAAAACTACACCAGCGCACAAGCAAAGACATAGCCWCACACATAATGCACAAAGCTTCTACTGTCATACTGCAGATAGATAACTAGGTATTGCTTTCCCATAAAAGACCCCTATTTCACCCCTCTTTCACTGGAGGAGCACAGAGGCCTTATCACCCCCAGCCACACCTAGGGGGCCAGGTTGCACACTGATACTGTAAATGTCAAGCCAGCTTCATCGTAACATAAGTTATTTATTATCTCATTATTTGATAAGAATGTTTCTATTTGGACGTCTTTTTTTTCCGTTGTATTAATTTTCAACATTGTTAGCATATTTCATCTACGTATCCTATTATTTTGATACCACTAAACAGGTATTTGGTTGTTTAATGCTATTGTAAGCCAACGTTTAAAACCTGCATCCATATATTCGTGTGTCACCGCTAAATCTTAACTCTGTCAAGAGGGAGCATTCCCTCAATCTGTATACATAATGTAACCCCCCCAGCCCCCAACAAATTTAATATTAAAAGGATGGATGTGAAAAGGTTCGATAAAATACTTGAGGTGGAGGAGGAGTTAATTTGTCAGCTTCCTATGTCCTCTGAGTGAAGAACACCCGCAGCCAGAGCACTTCCTTGATGATTTCATCACTTTATAACAGGAAGGACGGTGTCAAACCTGAGTATTGTGTGGCCGCCGCAAATGAGCCTAATACAATTTGCCCATCAGCAAGTGCTCTTGGAGAGGATGAATTTGGATGTGTCCCATGCACGACGATTGGAGGTCGCCCGGTGAATGAGAGTGAAAGGAAACTCAGATGATGAAAAGCAGCGGGCCTCATTTAGCAAAAAGGAATACAACGGCAGATTTATGCAAAACTCTAGATTTTCACCACTACATGATCAGAGCCCCTGAAATGGAGATAGACGGTTGCAGGAAAATGTATCATCATGCATCTGTGGCTTTTGTCTACTTATATAAATTATTTGATTCCCTAGAAACACAAATCTGATTAGGATTGTCTTTCAATTTCCTGACACTGACAACCTACTAACCTAATTACCCCAAATTCCCAACAGAGTCTCATCCTTCCCAGCAGGAACCAGGGAACTACCTGTTCCTCACACACATGCACAAACTCAAGCACACACAAACTTAAGTTCACAAAGGTAATGTTATTTTGATATGAAGAAATATAGATTTTGATGTTGTTTAATACAAAGTTTTATAGTATTTTCAAAACTTTTTTTGTCTCAGTTATGACTTTAGGTATGGAAAACTCCTCTCATTAACAAATACAATGTCACCGCTTTCTACGGTTACTTTCGGCTCTACCGTTGAGACCGGCTTCTGCCAGGTGGCTTCAACTCTCTGTGTTCCTCTCTGCCAATCGAGTCACGTGGCTGTGTCAGCCAATGATGGAAGGTAGATCGGTGCCTCTTTTAATTAAAACAGTCCTGGCCGTAATTAACAGATGCTGACAGGAATTAAAGCTTGGCACTAACCTGTCTCATTTTACTGTCCAACAGGGCCAGAGAGAAGCAGAGATGAAGAGGGGGCGACAAAGAGCAACTGGACAAGATTCATTCACTTGTGTTGTGGGGTACTGACTGTGCACTGGATTTTGTAAAGCCCTATGTGGGGAACCCAGCCCTGGTTTGAGTTTTGTTGTACTATCTCCAGAGTAAACAGTAGGTGTGTTTAAAATGTGCACCGTGAGTTGCGTATCACCTCATCCAAACACATCTTTCTGTTTTATGGCCCATGATACAGAGAAGAGAGAGTAGCAGCGGCCAAGCTCGGGTATCATCTCTTCAAAGAAGGGCGCTTGTGGAGGGGGCTTTTGGCCAAGGCGGCTGGCATTTGCACACGGATTAACACAGGCCTCGAGGTGGGGGCTGGGGCCAGCTGACCTGAGGCTCTTCTTTCTCTCCAAAAACAATAATAATCCCTTTCCAAGCACACTCCTACAAAAGGGCCTGTCTTCACTCACTTTGTGTGGTCAGCCATAGTAGGGGCCCTTATTTTGAGTCGTTCACCTGTTCGGAGTGTCTCTCCATGGGGAAAGTGTCAGGATGTCTGGGATGGTTGGCAATGCCAAGGGGGGCTTAGGCAGACCCTATTTTAGCTGGGAAAATCAGAAGGCCACATGGCAAGGCATGGTGAACCTTTGCCTTTCAAGGAAGCCGCCCCGCTAAACTGCCGTCAGCACTATTTCAAAGGGGCCCCGTAGCCAGCTTCACATGCTTGCAAGAGTGTCGCAGCATTTTTAATCACAAGTGGCGATGAACGAGGGTAGCGGAAAAATTGTCACACTTTGCCCCCTCCTCATCTGCTGACCCCAGAGGCTGCCATACTGACACCCCCAACAGATACTCCATTTACAGGTTAGCTACAGTATCCCTGCAGAGCTAACATCCTCACACGTTCTGATAATTAGAAAAGCTAAATGGCACCTAAATCTATTTCAGATCATAAATTGCTGTACTGTAAAAATAATTTAAGGGAGGTTTGCAGAAGAAAAGGCCCTTTCTTTGCTCAATTTATTGCCATTACTGCGTCTTGGTGGCAAATTTTTTTTGTTTTAATGCTGTACAACTTTGATCCCACGTGATAAATAATATTCCAGGAGCTGTACGTGAGGGTAATGTAGGTCCTGTGTAAAGTTTATGTTTCATTTATTAGCATGGATTTTTATATCAGTGCAGATAAATTGTGTTTGTTAAGAGGAGAATAATTACTTTTTGCACCCTACTCATAAAGTAACTCACAGTACCTGCATCGGCTTTTTCAAGAGGTCTGAACCACCTCTCCGGTGCTTCATTAGTGGAGTAAAGTAGACTCATTCCTACGCTTTGTTGAGTTTATACAGTCATGCAAGTGGAGAAATTTGTGTGTGAGTGAAACACACAAAAGAAATGAAGACAGCAACAGCCCCAGAATGATGTCGGTGTAATCTCTCAATACTATCTTGTCTTCTCTCTCTTGCTCTAAGCTCTGATCCGCTCCCATTGATCAGAGAAAAAACCTGTTGCCCCTGACATTTGATTCTTTTATTGATCACTTCCTCTTTTATACAGTCAAAGGAAAGTGGAGCGGCTAAACACTGGGTTTAGCCAGGTCCCCTATAATTCCTGTAATCCGATTGCTTATCTTTAGCAGAACATTTTGCTCATATCTCCTCTCGCCACGCTTTTAGAAATAAAAGCGCAAAAGCTGTGATATGTGGGAAACATCAAGGCTTAATTTCATTAAAATGACGCTGTCAGGCAGTGATGAATTTATATCTGTTTCTTTGGAGGGGGTGCGGCACTGTACTTTGTTAGAACTGTAAAGTTATAATTAGGTGATTTTCCATTGAGACACATTGTGACCTTTCTTCTGTAATGAAAGTAAGTGGCATCCTCAATCACATGAACAGTGGCCATCTCCACATCATGAGGCTGARCGTGGTGTTGAGCCGATGGCTTCATGGAGCTTACAGTGGACATAGACCATGTGTTTTTCTTTCCATTTAGTCTCAGTGATATTTTAAAGTGCAGGGCTCCAAGTCAGAGCTTAAGAAAAATGTGCTTTCCATCGCTATAAATCACGGCAAAAGTCTTTAATAACTGCACCTTTCAGTAATTTAGGATCAATCTATATCAACAGTTATCAAACAACGGCAATAGCGTCAGTACTGGGAGAATAACCACTATTTAAAAGAAGAGTTATTTTCAATTTAGTAATTTGCTGAATTCACAGAAGAGTGCATTAGAAGCCAAAGCTTAGCTGAATTGTGCAAATTTTCACACTCTTAACTTTGACCTGACACTGGTCATTCATTTATAGGCTTGGCCACTTTTTTTTTTGTGGTCTCTTATTCTCCAGGATGATATATTGGCATAAATTTTTCATCAGATAGTAATGCGATTACTCTGTCTTTCTGGCACTGAGGCTTTATCTGGCTGCATGCAGTCCAGGGGATTCTGTTACTGTGTGGGGATCCATACAGGCTACGACTCTGGATTCAGGTGGTGACTGCATATATATGCATCTATAAATCCTGCACTCCAATGGGAGAATAATGGGAGGAAGAAAAGGGGAAACGCAGAGTTTGAAAGATAACCTAAAAGTGGAAGCTTTTAAAAATATATATTGGAGTATATGAGAAAAAAAATCTGCTTTGCAACCATTATACCATTATAAGATGTGATATGGCTAAAATATTCAGAAAACATCCTTTTGTTTTACTCTCTCTTGATCTTGTTCACAATTTACCATTTAATGTTGTTGCTGTGCAGTCATAATGGCAGACAGTTTGTTGCAACTTTTAACTCAAACAAAAATAAGAACTAATAGGAATAAGTTTATTTACTCCCCATATGCAGTTCAAAACTTCGACATTTTCTTTATGCACTTCTGCAGCAGATTGAGGTCTATATTTTGATGCTGGTTTTCAAAATGTTGCTCTAAAAACACAAAACKTGCCTAAAGAGTCTGGGAAAGTGTTAAATATTGAGGAGAGAAAGTGCTCAGGAGAAAACAGCGTACCCAAAGAGACTTCTTTCCGCTCGTGTTTCTGTACATTAAGAGGGGATGGATCGATGTAATGTGAGCATGCCAGTCTCTTTGTCAGAGAGAAATGGGCTGAGTGTCTGCACTGCAGCTCTACAGGAAACTATGGCTTTACTCATTTAGATACTGAAACAAATCATAGATAAAAAATGCTTTCTAAGAAAAAAAATAACTCAATGACTTTTCTTATGCTGGTTTGTGATACGTTACTGGTATTTCAGATGTAATAATTGAGACAATTTCTTAGTTGATTCATATTTATCGTGTTTATCTTAATGGAAAACATATTTCATGAAATGTTTGCTTGGCCTTTTTTCTATCAAACAATAAAAAAACAGAGGTTGCATAATATAGAAAAAAAAGCAGAAAGGTGTTTCCCCTAAAAGAGCATGAAAAACTCAGGATCTCTTGGGAGGTTCTGTTAGTGACAGTTTTAGCGAGAGAGAAACCCCTGGCCAGACAAATCCATCTGAAGCATGTTTAATTGTCACTGAATTCCCTGGTGGCATGACTTAAAAAAACCACACACACCCACACACACACAGGAAGATTGCTTCGGAAAACATTTAGTGGACCAATATGTGAGGGAGAGCTGAGACTGTGGCGAGTGTGTGCTGAGGGACTTGGCGTGAGCCTCTCCAGCTGGAATACTGTTACATTTCTATTGCTCAGACAGCTGGATCAACCTATTCAGCATATTTCTGTCCCCGGCTCAACTGCACATTATTTACTGCTGTGTAGGTAAGGAGTGGTGGGGTGGGGAGGGAGTACCGCGGAGCAGGTTGTACGCACAAGGAAAAAAAAACATCCGAACTGATGGCTGCAACATTTGGGAGTTATCTTCAGAGAACGTGTGTGAGGTTGAAATGTTGTTTACGTGGGTGGAAGAATAATAAAAAAATGTTCTTACTCTTCTTACCTTCTTTGAGCATCCCCACTTTGAGGCATTTCATGAAGCGACAAGCCTGACAAGATTTGCGTCTCCGTTTTGTGATCTCGCATTCATTTGTGGCCGGACAGCTGTATTCTATGTTACCTGAGGAGCACAGGAAGGAGCAAGTTAGCATAAAAAACTGATCAATGAAGCATTTTTTTTATTAGAATCTATTTTTTAAAACTTCAGGTGTCGCTAACAATATAACAACCAGTGTCTAATAGTCGCTAATAAAGTTTGGTTTTTTTTGCCAATTAAACTCAAATGCCTAAAGAAATGCATGTGAGAAAAAAATTTCAAGCGACAGCATGAGGAGAGGTGGGGTTAAAGTGCAATAAATGGGGGGG